CATTAATAATGGCAGCGTGTGCATTCATTTGATTATAACTTTAAAAGGTTATTAAACAATAAAAAAAAAAAAAAAAAAAAGAATATAAATCGTCATCGTATAATGACATTGCACCGGTTTATTTATGGTCTATCCCTTTAACCAGATTTTTAATATTGTGAGTTTAGAAACATTTTTACAGCTATTTTTTTTAAGCTTAATCGGTTTTTCTCGTATTAGGTTTAAAAGTGGTATATTCCAAACACATTTTTCACCCTATAAATGGTGATAACAGCCAAACCTCTAGGTCAAAGACTATAAATTTAGTCGTTACCTAGCTTTTATACTTACAATCTGTGTTAAGTCTAAGCTTTAAAGCTTATTTTGAAAGAGCTCGTAATTAGAGAGTAACTGGATATGTAGCAAATTATAGTTATAAATATAATGTACCATTAGCTATAAAAGAGAAAACAGAAAAATATACTAGTAGCTACTTAAAAGATAACCATGGTTTAAGCCGGACCAAGCATATGAAAGTCTTAATATAGAAAGCAATAATCTGACTGGCTTAATGGTAAAGCAGGATATTCCTAATATTTGTATTAAAGTTCGAATCTTTAGTCAGATTAGGTTTAACAGTATACTTTAAGGTTATACTTTTACAACAATTTTTTTTAATAAAGTTTAAGTTTATATTAATATATTATTGAGTTTGATGATGGCTCTGATTGAACGCTGTCCAAAGGCTTGACACATGCTAATCGTACGTTATTTTGTATACTATATAGAATAAAGTGGTGTAAAGGTGAGTATATAATAATTTGGTTTCCTTAAAGTAAGGGAAAAATCCCTTATAAAATATCAGGGGTATTAATTTAAAGTACCTTTATATCAAAGAAGAAAAAAACTTTTTCGCTTTAAGATGCTCGTAATATTATCAAGTAAGTAGTAGTTAAGGTAATGTCTTAACTAGCTAAAGCTTGTAGTCATAACTGAGAGGTTTATTGACCACATTGGGCCTGAAAAAATCCCAATACGTGTAGTACAGCAGTGAGGAATATTGGTCAATGGCCTAACGGCTGAACCAGCAATTTGGGGGAATGTATGATATTTATATCAGTATATGCATGCTGAGGTATGTATATACATTGACTATGTCAAATCAAGTTCTAGATAGATAACTGATAATGACAAATTTCTATCTATATGTCTTGACCAAGTCTTGTGCCAGCAGTCGCGGCAATACAAGGAAGACTAGTGTTATTCATCTTTATTAGGTTTAAAGGGTACCTAGACGGTTTTGATAGCTCCAAAAGAGTACGTTAAAACTAGAGTTTGATAGGAGAGGTAAATATTAGGGCTATTGGTGTAGAGATGAAATTCTTTGATACTAATAGAACGGATAAAGGCGAAGGCAACCCTCTATATATAAACTGACGTTGAGGGACGAAGGCTTGGGGAGCAAATAGGATTAGATACCCTAGTAGTCCAGGCAGAAAATTATGAATGTTATAGACTGAGTATAAAGTTAGTGTATAAATGAAAGTGTAAGCATTCCACCTCAAGAGTAATGTGGCAACACAGGAACTGAAATCATTAGACCGTTTCTGAAACCAGTAGTGAAGTATGTTATTTAATTCGATGACCCTCGATAAACCTTACCACAATTTGAATATTATTTGTTGTAAATCCTCCATTGGGGGTATCAAATATTACAGGCGTTGCACGGCTGTCTTCAGTTAATGTCGTGAGATTTTGGTTAGATTCATTAAATTAACGTAAAACCCTTGCTCCACAGCGACTTATGGTTTAAATCTTATTAGCAATAATGAGATTGCTATATATATCGCAATTTGTGAAGCAGTTCACCGCTATATTGGATACGATAACAGGGACCAAGACAAGTCATCATGACCTTAATATTGTGGGCTATAGACGTGCCACATATGTTTGGACAAAGGGAGGCAAAAACGTGAGTAAAAGCTAACCCCCAAAACAAAATATAATATGGATTGTAGTCTGAAACTCGACTGCATGAATAAGGAATTACTAGTAATCGTGAATCACCACATCACGGTGGATTTAATCTCAGTTAGGTACTAACCACTCGTCAGGCGCTGAAAGGAGTATGTGCAATAAGTTTGGTTTATTGTTAATCCCACCTCCAATTGATTGGAATTGGATATTTTTTCAAACGACCTTCGTATGCGTGACTCTAATTGGTGTTAAGTCGAAATATGGTTCGTGTAGTAGAAATTGCACGGGTTTAATAAACATTAACAACACCCCCCCCCCGCGCGCGCGAGGGGCTGAGAAGCAAGGACAATGGGTATAACGATTTACAGAGAAAAGGATAAAAAAAAAGAT